ACTGGGAGATTTTGACATCGGTGGACGACTGTACGCTTGGATTTTTAGCTACCTTAGGGACCGCACCATTTACATGACGACAAATAACGGAGACACCGATCGTTATAAAGTTCATCGTGGTGTTCCCCAAGGAGGAGTTCTCAGCCCGATCCTATTCAATGTCACAATGATCAGCCTAGCAGCAGAACTTCCCAGCACGGTGAAGATCAGTGCATACGCTGATGACATATGCATATGGGCATCTGGAACTACTCGTCCGCAATTACGAGCTCGACTGCAGCGTGCAGTGACGATCACATACAAATATCTACGACGTTAGGGGCTCACTCTTTCAATCGACAAATGCGCAGAGCTTGCGTTCACGCGCAAGCATATGTCGAAATACCCGATATTCATTAATGGAACAGCAATACCTGCTGTAACGCACCACAAGTTCCTTGGGGTTGTTGTACACAGAGATCTATCGTGGACGAGGCATGTCGCAGTACTTAAATCTAAATTGAAGAGCTTTGCTCTCGTTCTTCGCCACGTAGCAGGAGCAAGATGGGGCCCGTCAGAATCATCGCTACTTCGATTGTACAATGCTCTATTTGTGGGATACATTCGACACAGCATGCCGGTGCTCTCCAATATGAGACCTAGTTGTGGGAAGACGTTAGAGAGTGTTCAAGCTCAATGCTTACGAAGATGCTTGGTTCTACCACGCTGTACTTCAACAAATGGTACAATCGGAGAGGCTCGGGCTTGTCCCATCAGTGTATACATGCTCTGCGAGCCACTTAGAGTTCACCTCCGATTGCTGAGCAGACACAGACAGCACCCACTGTCAGTACTACCCGCCATTCACCCAGATTGCAGTTTCTCAAGAGTAATATCGCGGCATGAAAACATTATACCATCAAGATTTTCTCCGCCGAATGCCCCTGCAGTGCCTCCATGGGTCCTGCCTAAACCACCTGTTTCATTTACGATACCTGGAATCACGAAGAAGTCGCTCATTTCTTCTGTTGGCCTCAGACAGCTGATCCTATACCACATTTACACAACGTACAGTGATTCTCTGCACGTGTACACCGACGGATCCACCACGCTAAACAGCTCCGCCGCAGCCTTTGTCATCTCAGACATGGATATCGCTCGACGATTCAAAGTGGACCATAAAACTACATCCATTGCCGCAGAGCTTGTCGCTATCCGGGAGGCAATAAGATTTATTTCCGGAGAGCGACCTCGAGCCTGGACGATTTTCTGTGATGCCAAACCCACTTTGCAAACCATTAATTGCATCATAAAGCAAGGTCCGTATTACAGCTTGGCAATAGAAATCACAGAACTTATTCAGGTTGCTTCAACAAATGGTCATCTTATAACTTTCCAGTGGATTCCCGCTCATTGCGTGATGGGAAACGAAGAGGCAGACGCTGAAGCTAAAAATGCCTTAAGCAGTGCCCCTGAAGTACGCATTGCGCTTTCACGAGCTGACACGAACGCCCTGCTTCGCTGCGTGATGCACAGCTACACACTTCAGCACTGGACCAAACCGGAACGGCGACACCAGCGACTTCACAAATGGGACCCGGAAATGAGGTTCCGCATGCCCCCTAAATTGAAACGGCAACACACAAGTATGATCCACCGCATTCGTCTTGGTGTAGCGTACACCAGACGTTACGCACATATCATCGGTCGCAATGACACCGGTCCTAATTGTGAACACTGTGATGTGCCAGAAACACTTGAGCACATATTTTGTGTCTGCCCAGCATACGCACGTGAACGACAAACGCTGATTTCTTCTACTGAACTATATCGCAGTAGGTCATTAACTGATCAGACCATGTTGGGACCTTGGCCAGACACCAACAGTGCAACTGCGGTCACAAGAGCAGTTATAACCTTTTTGGAAACAACTGGACTATGTGCGTGGCTATGAAATGTGTCTCAGCTAGAAAGAACACTACATACTCACCGCTCTATCTCTCACCATCGTCATTAATTAATCTTTCTTTTCCCCTTTCCCTTCCCCCGGTGTAGAGTAGCAGGCTAGAGCAAGCTATCGCTCAGGCCGACCTCTCTGCCTTTCTGTAAATAAACTTACCTCCTCCCTCCTTGTGTGTGAGATCTCATTATATATATATATATATATATATATATATATATATATATATATATATATATATATATATATATATGAGATTTAATAGAGTGTAATGCCAAGGAAAGTATAGGAGAAGTTATATGACCGAATACCAATCAACAAGGGTGCAAGGCAGGGAGATACAATCTCACCAATGCTATTCACCGCGTGCTTACAGGAGGGTTTCAGATGCCTAGAATTGGAACAGTTATGGATAAGAGTTAATGGAGAGTACCTTAGTTACCTGCGCCTCGCCGATGACATTGCATTGCTGAGTAACTCAGGGGATGAATCGCAACTCCTCATTACGGAGTTAGACAAGGAGAGCAGAAAGGTGGGTCTTAATATTAATCGGCAGAAAACGAAAGTAATGTACATCAACCTCAGAACATAGCAGCGCTTCCAGATGGGTAATAGTGCGCTTCAATTTGTAGAAGACTATGTCTACTTAGGGCAGGTAATAACCGCGGAGCCAAACCACGAGATTGAAGTAACTAGAAGAACAAAAAAGGGGTGGAACACATTTGGCAAGCACTCTCAAATTAGGACAGGTATATTGCCACTATCTTTCAAGAGGCAGGTATATAACAGCTGTATCTTGCCGGTACCTAGCTACGGAGCAGAAACCTGGAGACTTACAAAGAAGGCTTAGCTTAAATGGAGGACGACGCAGCGAGCAATGGAAAGAAAAATGTTAGATGTAACCTTAATAGACAAGAAGAGAGCAGAGTGGATTATAATCCACTCTGCTACCTATATGATATTCTTAACCCCCTATGATATCCTTAACCCCCGTTTGTTCCCTATAGGGAACAAACGGGGGTTAAGGATATCATAGGTGAAATCAAGAAACGGAAATGGACATGGGCAGGGCATGTCGCGCGTAGACAAGATAACCGCTGGTCATTAAGGGTAACTGACTGGATTCCCAGAGAAGGCAAGCGTGTTAGGGGGAGACAGAAGTTTAGCTGGACAGATGAGATTAGGTATGCGGGTATAAATTGGCAGCAGCAAGCACAGGACCAAGTTAACTGGCGGAATATGGGAGAGGCCTTTGCCCTGCTGTTGGCGTAGCCAGTTTGATAACGATTAGACGAAATTGTAATGTGAATTGGGTGAAAAGATAACTTGCCGTGGGCAGGTTCCTGCCCACGGCAAGTTATCTTTTCATCCACTTTGCTTTCTTCTTATTTGCATTACAATTCGGTCTAATAAATTCCCCTATACTTTCCTTGGCATTATTGTGTGTTAGATCTCATTAATATTGTGTCAAACCATGGAAAAGCAAGCCGTGCGCACCCGTATCTGAGGTGATAATGTGTAGAACGAAAGGCGAAGGGTAGGTGGGTTTAGAAAGAGTTGTTAACGATTTAGAGTACGATGTACTCAACTATGGGAGAACAGAAAGCCGTCCCGTGTAGTCCTGTTTTCAAGGTGTGCAGAGAATGGTGTGCCACCACCGTGTCGTCTTAGCAAAGCGGTGGAAACACTTGCCGTTTTGTGCAAGCGTTGCATGGGCAGCGCAGCGTTATAAAGGCTACGATCCTTGAAATTACTTATGTATGCCTTTTCTAGTAAAAAAATACACATACATAATATTGACGTGTTGTTATGGAGCGTGAGTTATGCGCAATAATTGGTTTTTATTTGACAATCGCACAATTATGAACGCTTAACGTTGAGCAATATTGCTGGCGCTGCGGAAGGGGTCAGCCGTTCGGAGTATCGTTTGGACACTTTGGTGCCGTTTGGAATACCGTTAAGGGTGGCCAAACAGACAAATGTACAGACAAATGTACAGACAGACAGACAGACAGACAGACAGACAGACAGACAGACAGACAGACAGACAGACAGACAGACAGACAGACAGACAGACAGACAGACAGACAGACAGACAGACAGACAGACAGACAGACAGACAGACCGAAATTCTTGCGTCGAAGGTCCCCAAGAAAGACTATCGTTTTTAAATCCACATTAGAATGCTAAATACTCTGCCGGTGTGCGTGTATAGGCGGCGTGCGTGTAGCCGTCTACATGCGACTCTGGTCAGGAGAGGAGATCTACGCGAAAACGCGATTTGTGATCACACCCTCGAGTTTCCTGCATTGTTGATTGAAAACAATATTATCATGAAGTGCACTTTCAAGAAAAGGTATGCAATAGTGAAAGAAGGAAAATGTTAAGAAGAAATTAGAAATGTGTCCTCTCTGAGTGTGAGTATTTCTGCGCTTGTTTCATCATGAACCTTTACCAACACGCCCAGCTAGCAGTCATGCTTAGAAAAGATGGAAAGAGGGGCGCTAATTCGAAGGAGAAACGCTCATACTTCAGAGCACATTACTATGCCAGATAGGTCTGCAGTCATTGCAAAAAAACAGATATATATTGAAGGTATCAGTGCTTGCATCAAGGTATGCCACCCATGCGAAAGACGTGTGTCGTCTCTTTAAGGCTGTTATGCACTGTCTTTAGCATAACGTATTGTCGTTTGGAACGGACATGACGTAACCTAGAACGTTGCACGGTAATGGGCCATTAAGCAAGAAACTGAAATGTTGATTGTTATTTGACTTCTTCCGTAGAACATACTGGCGCTGCTGAAAAGCAAGTTGCACGGGGATGGGCCATTAAGCAAGAAACTGAAATGTTGATTGTTATTTGACTTGTTCCGTAGAACATACTGGCGCTACTGAAAAGCAAGTAATACCTAATTATATATTAACTGTCTGTACTGATTATCGGAGCACTTCCTATAAATCTCGTGTCGATAAGACCTTCCTTTACCTCCTGTGTTCCTACCACAGTCATGTTTAGGTGCACTGTTTCGTGTGTATACCATGTAAAGAATATACAATGATACCAGAGCATTTTTATTGTTCTGTATTACGAGGAAAGCAGTTTGGCATTTCGTAAGCAAGTATTTCCTAGAAGAACGAACTTTTGTAGCCCTTCCATGCAGAGCCTAGACTCTGATACATTTGAGCGGATATTTTAGCCTCTACTGACGATTTACAGTTAATTGCGAGCGATATTCAGCTTTTTATATATCTTATGCAAAAAATGTTAATAATTAACTAATCTGTTTATTGTTATTCAGCCATTGCTGTCACAGGAACACCAATATGACATTCCAGGGAATTACTAAGAAATGTTTTTATTGCGTCAACAAATTCAAATGGGCCCTGCGGAACGTTTTCAGCACGATCAGAAAACAATGCCGATCGGTGGTTGAGGACCCTGAGAACACGGGAAGCAGACATTATAGGGCAGCAAGTGGCCTGTAATTCATGATTCTCAAAGACAGCTCTAAATTGTCCCTTGTTTCTACAAATGATCCCATACATCCAAATTAAAGTGTTGTATGCCCAAATTCACAACTATCGTCTGATTTGAGCGTTGTGAACTACTTGCTTGCGCGTTCGCTCGCGATAACACTGAATGTCAGTCCATTGGTCAGTCATGCGTTTGAAGAAAACAAAGATGGACTCGCTCTCTGGATTTCGTGCCAACCGGTTGTGCCTCCGCGATCTCCGACGACAGCGCAGCTCTGGCCGACTGGGCTCGCCCTACGCCATCTCCTGACGCCGACAAGAGCTCTCGCCGAGTGGTGCCCCGTCCTCGGACTCCTGCGAACGTGTCCATCTTTCCTATCTCCTCTTTACTTCCGTCGTTTTCCGTCGTTCGCTGTCCCTGCGTTTCACTCTCTCCTTCCCACTCTATCTGTTTAACTTTTAATCCTATCCTTTTAATCCCTCCTTATGTCCATCCTCTCGTGAGCTGCTGTTGAGGTGTCGCACTCTGATGCAGACCGTTACGGGGATCACTTTTCTCTTCTTTTCTATTTAAGAATCACATGAGAAGAAAACAAAAGAGTGTACAAAGGGATGACGCACGCGCTATGCAACTTCTTTCCTTCGTGTCAATGCCTCTCTATATTTGACCTCCAGCCCGCTCACTGGGACGACGAGAAGCGAAAAATCAATTACAGCGTGCGTCACGAATTTCTGCGAGCTGCTCGTACTCGATGGGTTGTAAAAAGCTTAGCAGCGGCCGATTCGGGCAGCTAATAAGCCTCTATGAAGCTATTCGATGGTTATTCGGCAACGTGTTGCAGGGCCCTTTGAAACTTACGAACAACAAAATATTGGCAATCTGACAGCCCCTTCACCCATGCGGCAGTAGTGGACTCTGATATTGTAAAGCCCAGTTGCAGTAGCTGCCACAGCTAACACTCGCTCAGCATGTGTGTTTACTGGTTTATTGTGTAAAAGTGGCATTGGGTCCTCTCTTCATCTGCAGCACTCCCTCTATTAATTTTGTTTCTGCATGCCAAATTTCAACGACTGATCACATCTGCTTTTTACTCATTTGCTTTCTTCCAGCGTTCGACTTAGTTATCTGCATACCGGATGATGTGGACGCACTCTTCTTCAAAAATAACGTGTGTCTTAGCTGTTAATGAAGCGTATCCCGCATATCACCTTGCGAAAAGCGAGCAGTTACGGAAGCATAGCAGACTGAAAGCTGTTTTATTCGAGACCAGTTCTTACGTCCGAGTAGGTACGAGTTGAGTCTTTCTTCTCCACCATCGGGAGGCGGATCTTCTTCTTTGTCATCAGTGACATGAATTTTACGCTAAACTGCAGATGTAAAATGACAGTATACCCTGTAAACTTCGTTTTACATCTTGACCACGATTGATGTCAGTGAATGTCTACCTCATCTTTGCATAATCTGAAAATTTTGACAGAACACCCTGCTTCAGACTGTAAGTCGCCCTTCATGGCCTTAAGTATATGACGTGCCACCTTCACCTCAGCTGTCTTGCAAGGAGCTATCGGATACAGGTGGTACGACGACATTTCAATTATAGGGCTTTTGTTCCTCCCAAATGTTGCACGCAGGCCCAAGAAGGTGCTTTCTGTTGACGTTGGCTTCTTTTCCAATTTCCATGTAATCACGTTCTTCACCAAACTTGGGCCAGGTGTTGTTGTCAGGGACTCGTGGTACTCTGTAACAACATAAAACGCAAACGTTACATTCTTCTGCAGAAAGTGATGCGCAATTGTTGGAACTGGAGGTTTTAGAATATTAGAAGTGGTCTTTTGTTGTTTTCATATTTACATCTGGATTAAAGGGACAATGACCCATGATCTACGTTTATGATAAGCTAACAGGAATAGTCGAATGAGGAAGTTTGTATGTAATATAGTTATTCAAATACGACCTTCATATCAAACCAACCTTATATTGAGAGGTGTTATGCAATCTAGGTAATTGGAATTGAGAAGTCTAGGTCCATCACGCTAAATTAGCCGCCAAATATCAAAGCGCTCGAAAAAAGGAAGGATCCCCAAGAAGCATTTGATACACAAAAATACTTCCTTTGTGTTGTTTCCTGTTTTATGATTTCAAAATCAGTTTCGACGTTACTTTGTAATAACTTCTAATGACTCCTCGCAATACCCCAAAATGTGTTTATAAACAATTTCCAAAAAAACATACATAGAGAGTATTTTAAAACACACAGGTCCTTCAACGCAAAACCTTTTGTTTGAACGCTACTTTCTCATGTCATAATACGACTTCATCATCACATGTCTTGAGAATGTTTTATTAATAAAGAGGGTGAATTGACACGACGACTGATTGCGCGAAAATGAAAAAAAAAGTACAACGAAAGCGTCTATGGTTTCAGACTGTAGAGAACTGATGTGAACGAAGTGAATACTGGTATCTTTGGTAATTAGAATTTCATATGTGATGCCACTTGAAAGCAAATTACAACCCGGTGTGTCAGGCACACGCTTTCTTCGATTGAGCATGAGTGGAGCAGTTGATATAAAGTAGAGGGCAACTGAAGAAAGGGGGATTCCGTTTGATAATCGAAATCTCTTGTGACAACATCTACCTTAAGCCCAAGCATGTCACTTCATCTTGCAGCTATTTTACTACTTGGGCGTGTACTTTGTCAACTATATATCGAAGGCTGTGGCGAGCGAACCATCACGAACTTAACAAACACTGCAAGCACAATGATCTCTTACCCGGTGTGACTGAACGTCGAAATAATATGCATGAAGTTCTCCGCAGCCTTGGCATCATTATCAGAGACGTCACTTTCAAGTTTAAACACAGAACCTAAGGCGAACGCAATTTCGTCCGCATGTGTCGGGCGCACCCACGTCGGCCACCCAATCTTCGATGGCTGCTGCGAGAACTTGTACATGAAGACGGCAGTGTCTGGACCAAGAAACCTTTTGGCAAATCCCAGCATAGGACATCCCAACTGGCTGTCGCCTAGAAGGTCAGCAGCAGCGTGTACGGCTTCGACGCCATCCCCGACGTTCGGACCGCCGAAGTATTGATCGATAATTGACTGAGACTCTAGGTCCAACAGGGTGATCATCATGCCTCTGGCGAAGAATACCATCGTCCTCTTCGTTATGTCAGCGGCGTCGGTGTTATCGCGGAACCCCTTAGCCACAAAATCAATGAGTCCGTCACCTTCGGCTGATGAGATACCGGCCAGGAGCTCGCGTGCGTTTAGCCTCCGGCTATTCAAAGCCTTCCCTACTCTTACAGGAATCAGGTCATCTCCTATGACTGGGAAGAAGCCATCGAGTCCCTGAGTCGTGAAACCTGCAGTCGCATTCAAAATCTCTGAAACATTCTTTGATCCGCATGCAGCTCGCCATCGTTTGGAAACCTCTCCAGTCCTTTCCAGTGAACCACAATCTAACATTTCCGCCAGGACACGCGCTCTGTGACGAGCCTGTTCCTTGGTGTTTTCAAGCGAACTCGTGAAAGGGCTTCCCGCTCTGCATGATAACACGTCGAAACAGTCCTTTGCTTCTAGGCGACACCAAGTGGACACCGACAGAATAAGATCCCGCACTCTGACCGACCAAGGTTATTTGGTCGGGATCTCCGCCAAAAGCCTCGACGTTGCGTTTTATCCAGCGCAGGGCAAGGAGCTGGTCGTGAATGCCCATGTTTCCTGGAGCATCTTCAGTTCCCCATGTTGAGAAATCCGAAAGCGCCTAGCCGATACGCAACAGGTAACTACGACGACATCTCCTCTGGCAGCCAGCTCAGAAGCGTCGTGAATTGGCATCGAAATACCGCCGTAAGAAAAAAAGCCTCCGTGAATATAAACCACAACGGGCTTCCCCGATGTGCCGTTAGTAGACTGGAGCGTAGATGTTAAGGTACAGACAGTCTTCCGACATTGGATCAGCTTCTTTAACCAGGTAGTAGCTGTTGAAACTCAACGGCATTTGGGGGCACATTGGTGGTAGGTTCGTTGCGTTAAGGACTCCTGTCCATGGTCTTTTGGGTTCGGTTTTTTTGAAACGAGCAGGAACCTATCGGCGGTTCCGCATAAGGAACGCCCAAAAACGCACGCACTGACCCAGGTCTTTGTGGACACAAATTTTCCTCTTAAACACCCAGTGCAAGTGTTGACAGTGACTGAGGAACGTTGTTGAGTGCTTAGTTGCAGACACATTAACAGGATGCACGACCACGTTGCCGATCTCATTTTCTGCAAAAGAAGAAACATATATGGAGAACCTTTTTGTTTTTGAGCCATTTTACTGTTTTTTTTTTCAAGTCGCATTGAGTTTGAGTCATTTCCATATTTATCGTTCACGCAATTAAGGTTGAATACCAGGCGTGTTAAAAACCTGATTATCTCACTTTACATTGGGCTTATTACGCATTAGGTTGCTCAAAAATCAAACATATGAGCACTGCTCTAAAGTCTTTTTTAGCTCGTGTTCGAACCCCAACAATCCAAGTAGAATGTCAGCAGAGGACACACTGGGAAGAGCATATTTCCATAAAAGAAGGCCACTATGCATGTCGCTCAGTATGCCACCATATTTTATAACAATGTAGGACACTAATCCTACATGACACTTAACAAAAAGATACTAAAATTTCAGTGTATTACTGCAAGCCGTGTTAAGCCCTCAAGTTTCCATAAAACATTTAGATCTTTCTCAAAGTAAAAAAACACCAAAAAAAAAAAACAAAAATTGGCAGATACCACGTACAGTGAGAATCGATGATATGCGAAACACGAATGAGGAAGGCCGATAGTCGACTTTAAAATTAGCACAACGTTATGAGGCGGAAGTAAATTATGCCGTGCATGACTTCCATGTCATGACTATCATGTTTGGACGTGCCATTTACCTTCGTCGTCTATTCACGTCCCATGATATTAAATTTGGTATAATTAGAACCAACGAAACAGCCGCGAGCACACTGTCAGCGCAGCATGTAGTCATGTTTTACATGACACGCGTGTCATGATTATCATGTTTTGACATGTCATTTACCTTCGTCGTCTGTTCGCGTCACGTAATACCAAATTTGGCATATGTGAAGCTAGCGAAACTGCCGCGAACGCATGATGAGCGTGGCATGTAGTCGTGCTTTTACATGACACGCATCTCATGATTGTCATGTTTCGCACCTGTCATATACCTTCGTCGTCCATTCACGTCACGTAATTCCAAATTCGGTACATGTGAAGCTTGCGAAACGGCCGCGAGCACATCTTGAGCGCGGCGTGTAGTCATGACTTACATGACATGCATGTCATGACTTCCTCGTTAGGGTCTGTCACTTATGTTCGCCATGCAGTATGTCATACCGTACCAGTTTTGCAATATGTCATGTGAACGAAACAACCACAGGAGCAGCAAGACCATGAAATGTAAATCATGACATTTATGGCATACATTTTAGGATTTTCATGTTATGACTAGTCTCACTTACCCTCGTCATACAGTCATATTACGCCACACCAATTTTGGTACTGATACCATTATCGAAACGGCCAGGGGAGCTAAAAGTCGTAGACGGCTAGATAGATAGATAGATAGATAGATAGATAGATAGATAGATAGATAGATAGATAGATAGATAGATAGATAGATAGATAGATAGATAGATAGATAGATAGATAGATAGATACGCTCAAAGTCACCGAATTTTGCTAAGAAATTATTCGCATTAGAAAAAAAGAGAACACATTTCAGGTGAGCGGTGACACAAAGAACTAGGTCGTGCAAAGGTCGGCACAGCGAAACACGGGATCGTCTCTACCCGTACTCCCCATCGACCGGAACGTCTAACTTCGAGATGCATTGCTTCCTGCTCGAGAGAATGACCTTCCTAAGGATCTCAACGTATCTACGGACACCACCGGACGTAGCCAGCCTATGAACTGAAGAGTGGAGGTTGCGTGTGATATTTGGGCAACGTGTTGAGGCGGAGGGTCAAGTTAGCACGAAGCCGACACAGCGGGGGTGCATGGCAAATCAATTGGGGGGGGGGGGGGGGACACTCAGTAGGCAAACAAAAAAAATGTTGTGAGTTTATAGTAATGAACAAACCGGAACGAGTATAAGTTTATTACCTGCACGCATATGAGATGGTTGAAATTTACAAATACAGATTGCTAGCGAAATGCTTATTGGAGGACGAAATTGCCATTTCGGCCTTCAGGTAGGAAGTGACAAGAGGGGGGAGAGGACGTGTTCTCATATTGTGCAGGGAGATCATTGCGGTCCACGTGTTGCCGATCTCTGCTATAATTCATCATTTATATTATGGTTGCGTCTGTGTGACGCCATACATGTTTACGCTGTGCTCTGTTCTCTTCCTTAATTCTTCAATTATCGTGGTCCCCCGTTTTCTGTCCCAGGCCTTTGCAATGCATGGCTCTGCTTCACATGGTGACGCTGAGTGACAACACGAGACGACTGCATGCGATGACAGCATACAGCCCCCTGCTTTTCCTCCTTCTTCATTATAACCTTCCTTTCCAAGCTCTTTGCTAGACTTTACTATGCTCTAGATGGCTGTGCTGTGCACTGCTTTGGCTGCGTGATGTCATGCATGGCTATGCTTTTTATGCTCTGTCTTCCTCTTTTCCTCCTACTTACTATCACTTCCCTTTCCCGCATGCTTGATATACCATACTCTACAAGGCTATGCTATATATGGTTATCCATCTTTGAAATTTGTAGCGCGAACTGGGGCCAGAGAGGGAAGCGACCACACCAGCACTTACTATAAACTGGAAACTTCGTTAGGCAAGACCGAACATATCTACTGAAACAGAACATGTTACCCACTACCCACGCGCACTTTTCCAAGGTACAAAGCCGAACAAGATCAAACTGTACCTCTTCACAAACTCCTTTATTTGAGGAGTGGCACTTCCTTGCTGGAAATCGTTAATGACCGATGGCTCAGATTAACACTGGCTTTTCGAGTGGTGGACCTTGCAACTAAAGTATACATGCAAAAATGGTAAGTTAAATGGCTGTGTCAATAAATAACGTCAAATGGCGTCCAATAGATACGCCATTGTTGCAAAAACACGAAAATACACGGAACTAGCCACCAAGAGTATTCGTTATTTATAACATTGCAATTATCTTTTTATCTGATTCAGTATCTTTGTGATTTTTTTCTGATTCCTAGAAATATTGCCCTATTGTGCAAGCGGCTGCTCTAAAAACAAAACAAAACGGAAAAAAAGAAAGGAAAAAGCGTTCTTCAGCATGCGACGTAGGTGAACTTGGCATGAGTGAAAGGTGCCTACAACGTATCGATTCGTTTCACTCCAGTGTAGTCTGTTCTAATCAAACAGTGGTTTGTATGACTAGGCACGTTTAGTGTGCTTCCGTAACCATTGAGTCAGGGGCGACATGAAAAGGAACATGAATAAAATCATGAAGTTACGCCTGCTACAAGCTGCTAATTAGTAGGCTGTCTTGCATCCGAATAGCGTGTAATATGAGTGTCGGTAACACTTATAATTTGTGAACTTTATGCAACTCACGAAAGCATATTGCGTGACAGTATGTCACTGAAACTGTGTTCCCCAAAATATACCAACTGCCGCACAGCCACTTGAACATGAAAACGTGGCCATTAGTGAATTCATACTTAAACAGGACAGGTACATGGCAGTATTGAAACGAAAGCCCACTGGAAAGACTTTCTTTCTGTCCGCGTCTAAGTAGTGCGCTCTCAGTTCAAAACAATCATGTATCACCAACTCGCGCAATCATCCATAAGGACAGGTACGCAAGCACTAGTTCACCCAAACGTTAGCTAAGGCTGCGTCCACTGTTTGGCAGCTTTTCACCCCTACTTGTTACACAGTTTGACTAAATAGGCAAGCATAACCCTCGCACCTGGATCTTATATAGAAAGGTGAACTGAAGACACGAAACTCACTGGCATGCGCGAAATACCACAGAAATGCATCAGCCATTGTAGTCAGAAGCGGTCCATGAAGATGCTTACCTCAGACGATCGCGGTGTGTTATCCAGGGACCGAATGAATCAGGGTGAGCTGCTGCCCGATTCAGTGGCTTATTCAGAATCAAAATGACCGCTGAAAGAAAATGCCATGGCGCTGCAGAGAGAACAGCCTTTCTAAGCCGGGTGGCCGTGTCTGCGCTTCCGTCTTTTCCGGTGGCCTTGAGCATGTTTTTTTTTTTGCTTCACCACCTTCGAATGGCCATAGCTCGTTACGCAACAAAGTTTTATTTTTTTTGTTTGTAATGACGCAGCCTAATCACTTAATACCACCACCCCCAATGTATCCGAAGAACGAGGAAGTTGGAGAAGAGGAAATCAAGGGTATCTGCCCTCTTTTCATCCGCGCTATAGTGTGAACTATGATAGAATACAGCGAGGTCAGATTGTTTTCACCTTGCAGGTACGCAGCTAGCTGCAGAAGGGCGAGAGAATGAATGCCACGGGAAGCAAATGTAGAGAGGGTTATCTGAATTTGTTGAGCCATATATGTTTCGAGGAAGCTGTTTAACAGCGTGTTCCTACATAGCACGTGACATTTGCGACATAAAAGTATGTCACACATCTACACAGTGCCACGTGTTGTGTCTTGTCTTGCGCCCTCGCTCAATATGCCCTGTGCAGAGGTGTGGGTGCTAAATCG